GCAATCGCGCCAATCGTCCGAAGGAACGCCATCGAACGAGGGCCAATAACCCCTGATGTCTCCACTGCCACAGGAGTAAATTTAAAAAATCTATCAGCAAGAGAAGAATATTTAACTATTTTTTTTTTATCTCTGCGTCCCGGGCGACGGACCCCGGCTAAACCGCGGACCTGATCGAATTACCGACCGAAAATGTATCCGCACAGGTCGCATCCCAAATCAACGACTTCCCCATTTTAAAAGGGAAAATGGTAATGCCATCCGGCCGCTTTCCATCACCGCGGTCGAGGCCTACGGGTTCGATTTGGGAAGGGAACCCAGCTGCATCCAAACCTCTTTTGATGATGTCGTTTATTACTGCATGCCGTGGAAAGCGGCCGGCACTACGACGGCAGGAGAGAGGATGCAGACCAAACTCATCGATAAAGGCTCCACATCTGCATCTGTGACGCTCACATAATTTGAGTCCAAGACGGATCGCGACTCCGACCCGACTGCACTCATCATCTAGAAGGGTACCGGTAGATGAAGAGGGCACTGCGTTGAGCCAGGCGCCACTACTTGTTTGTGAAGCAGATAGTAGACAGGCGAGGCGATGCTGATTCAGAGAGAGCCTCAAATTAGTAAAATTTGCCTCACATTTTATTTTATCCCAGCTTTTTTGTTTTGATGTGTCTAGTTGGATAGAAAGTAATTCTTGGGCCCAGACGCTGCAAGCTTGTTCCAAACACTGAGACGATCCACCGAGTATCTCATCAATTAATTCGCGACTGGACGAAAGTGAAGAAAGATATGCTGGAAGGGCCAAATCTACCGCTGATCGAAGGCCCAGGCCTCTGAAACTCAAAGGGAGCTTTGCCTGCCTCCAGCCTGTGTCGTTGAAATTGATGTTGCAAATTAGCTCCGCGCATCTCAAGAAATAGTATGTCGCTTGGAAATGACGTAGTTTTGCTAAAATAAGCAATTTATTCTTTCCATTGACGATTCTCGACGTCAGTTTATATGCATTTAGACGAGTCCAAGTCTTCGTCTGGAGAGGTGTGTTCAACTCCACAATATAATGATATACAGTCCTACTAGCTGGTGTTGGGTGGGGAGAGTTTACTTTCGGGTAGCGAACCCGACTAGAATTGGAAGTCGGTTGTCCAGTTTCTCATGACTTGGCCATCCTAGTACGTCTTCGGATCTCAGCGTCGCACTTACCGTCGTCTGTCAGAACATTTCCTAGATACTTAAACTTCCGCACATGTTTGATTTTAGTGTCCCCGACCTGTACATCGCATTTTGAATTCATCTTTTTATTGATGACTATGCATTCTGTCTTCTTGTAGTTTATGCATAGTCCCTTCTTCTCGCTATCCTTCGCTACCTTCTGTAGGAATTTTTATAATTTCTTTTCCGTGTCTACTATCATTACTGGGAAATCAAAAAGTGAGTACATTTTTGGTACACCCTTTAGATTTAATGAAATATGGCAATTAACTTCAAGGAATGAGCGTATCCAATGATTGTGCTATTGAGTTAGGCAAGCTTTTGTACCTGAGCACATTCCTATATGATCCAACGTCATTTTTCTTGAGACGCAGGCTAGACGGAGAATCTGTGTCAAATTATTCAAGTGTACAGCCAAAACGTTAAGAAAAGATGCGAATGTGAACAAAGGGCAAACCAGGGGGCGCTCTAATCGAAGATTAAACATGCAGCTGATAGCAGAACCAAATACTAGTAACGAAACCGTGTGCCAGACACTAAACGATGATTTTCGAATGGAAAAAAATGTTCTTACAGATTGTCCTTCGATTACTGACTGAGAATCGTCCTGGGTATGGCGATAAACTACATCCGCGTCCCGGGTAAGGCGATAAACTACATCCGCGTCCCGGGTAAGGCGATAAACTACGTCCAACAGCAAGGCCTCTGATCAGGAGGTTTTGGCGAGCGTGGAACCACCTCTTAATTGTTGATGTTCCCAGGTCCACCCTGACCCAGAATGGTAACAACTGTTAGGATCCCAATTATGGGCAAATAGTTAACACCCAAACTTGTGTAAAAATAGGTTTTAATATCAGAAATACTTTGTAATAAAAAAAATTATTACTAGCAATAATTTTTGAAGGAACAATTATTATCAGCAATACATTAAAAAAAATACGAGAAATACAATCAGTTATACATTCTTTGAAAAAAAATGACCAGCTATAGATTTCTTCAAGAAAAACTATTCCCAGAAATAGATTTTTAAAGAAAAACATATTACAAGCAATAACAATTTTGTCGGCATTAAATAACCCATTGACGTTGATATGCCGTAAACCAAACCAAACCAAACGAATATATACTGAGATAGATAGATAGATAGATAGATAGATAAAATATATTAGCAGCAATAAACATTTTGCCGGCATTAAATAACCCATTGAGGTTGATATGCCGTAAAACAAACCAAACCAATATATACTGGGATAGATAGATAGATAGATAGATAGATAGATAGATAGATAGATAGATAGATAGATAAAAAATATTAGCAGCAATAAACATTTTGTCGGCATTAAATAACCCATTGAGGTTGATATGCCGTAAAATAAACCAAACCAATCAATATCATTTCATATTTAATAACGATTTTTACAAAATTTACATTACTAATGGGATCACCTCTTAATGGCATGTATCTTCTTAGAATTTCTCGAATATGGTCCTATCCAAAACAATTTACCCAAATAACATATTTCCGATATATTGATGATGCTTTACTAATACATCTTCGTGATACGGATTTACCTGACTTTATAGATCAACAAAGTCGAACATACAATAGAATTTACATACGAAATTGAAGAATAAAATTCTTTACCTTTCCTAGATATCAAGCTACGCTGCGTTTACAATAGTTAAAAACTTCATGTCCACCGGAAATCAACCAACAAAAAACGATCTAATAAATGTCTGTTCTCCTCATAACAACAACATAAATATTCCCAGAAATAGATTTTTGAAGAAAAACATATTACAGGCAATAAAAATTTTGTCGACATTAAAGAACCTATTGGGGTTGATATACCGTAAAACAAAAACCAAACCAAAATAAGTGAAATAAAAAACCTGACTGAGAAACACCATCAGCCTTACGTTTTATCTGGTCCTGTAAGTAACGCAGATATATTTAACAGGGTTATTGTAGTTGATCAAGCGTTGTGTTTTCAATACGACCCGGAAAGAAAACGCCGGTGGTAAACAATGATTTCATTTTGCCTGGGAGGAAAAACATACACAATTCGCTCGCAGTTCAAAGCTGTACCTGTGTGTTTCTTTGAGCATCATGGAAATGTTTACGGCAAATTCTTAGCACAAGAGGTCAATCAACTTGTTTATTTGAAAGTGCTAAAATGTTTACGAGAATCTGTTTGAAGTTAAAAACTTCCCGCAGAGCAAGTGAATTCTCCAGCATGACATTTCTTCTGAGGACCAACCATTTTTTCCCGAACATCTTTAATGGTGGATCTTCCGTAAGTGAGATATAGTCGTACGTACGATCCCTCACTAAAGATGGTGGGAATAAATGGTTGCTTCTCTGTATCACTCCATGTTACTACCCTTTATCTTTAAAGGATCCAGATCAGGCTGAAAATGGAGTACTGTTGCCATATATGGGCTGGAGCTGCATAGTCTTCACTTTCTAGTTTTTTTTTTATTTTCCACCCTACAACCACTTTCCCCACAGACGAAAAGACGCAAGCCTCTCGCTGCTCTATGGCTATTTCTATGGAAAGAGTTCAAACAAAATATATTCCTTATTTGCACCAGTTTTAATCATCACATCTAAGACCTGCCATGCCACTCACATTGTAGCGTGCCACCCCCACTCCCTTCATATTCCATTGGTGAGATGTAAGTTCCCCTCGAGCAGCTTCTTCTCACAAACCGCGGCTTTGTGGAACCGACTCCCAAGATGATGCTTCCCCGATCACTTCAATCTTAATTTGTTCAAGCGTATGTTTAACCGTTATTTTCCCCGCACATAAACGGCGCATGTTTCTCTGTAACCGTCTACTTCGAGTGGCTCTCGGGCCTCGTACAAAGTGAACAAAGAAATGAAGAGGTCCAGAGTAAGAAATCTATGACAAAAATTCATCTATTTTATTCACCCGACTTTGCCCTCACATTGTGATTCTTACATGTTTCCAGAATTTGAAAATGTCCAAAAGAAAAAAAAAAGAAAGAAAAAAAGATTTGCTGACATTCCTGACTTCAAGAAACACCTTCCCAAAAGTTATTCCTGGAAACGAGTTCCAAGAATATTTCCAGCAGTGGTTCTATCGTCTGAGATGGTGCATCGCTTTACAAGTGGATTCCTTTGAAAGTGACAGCAGCCAAAAACTGCCAGTTAAGCAAACATTGTTTCAACAGGAATATGTTAGATATTACATTTTTCAACCTTGTTTGTATATATATAATCATGCACACGTACGTGTATGTTTATACAGCTCTTTATACAGATCCAAGCATACATCTCTCTGTACGTTTTTATCAGTGCATATCTTTTAGTAATGAAACCACAGCTTAATTTACAAATCTTAATAACCGACAGAAATAACATCAAAACGGATAATTTACAATCTTGAACTTAATTAGAAAGAATTAATATTTAAAATTTAATTAGATTTCACGAAAAAAAATGTGTCAGTGGGATATTAAAAAATTAGAAAAAAAGGTGGGAAGAAATTAGTGGAAAATGTCAGAGGTGAACAAGTCCATTGTAAAAGAGAGAGAAAGGTGGAGACGAAGAAAAATTCTTTTGAGAGTGTGAGAAAGAAGGAAAAGGGAAGAAAAGCAATAATGAGGAAAGTAAAGACAATGATAAAAAAAAGAGGTAGGAGAAAAAAAAGGAGGGAAAGATATGAAAGAGAGGGACTAAATCATTGTTAGAGAGAAGGTAAAAGAGATGCAAAGAGAATGACAACATGATTTATGGTTTGAAACGAAATGTCAAAAATTGTTTAATATGAAAAAAAACAAAAAAACAAATAGAGGCGAAGAAAGAGAGAGCGAGGCCCAAAGAAGGAAACGTATGAGAAATAGAAAAGCAATATAAATGAGAGAGAGAGAGAGAGAGAGAGAGAGAGAGAGAGAGAGAGAGAGAGAGAGAGAGAGAGAGAGAGAGAGAGAGAGAGAGAGAGAAAAAATGAACGGAAAAAATGAGGTGAACTTAAGGAGAAAAAATAAGTCGAAAAAAATAAAAAGAAAGAAAATAAGAAAACGAAAAGAGAAAAGCGATGTAAGCAACAAAAAGAGAGGAAAAAGGAAATGACGAAAGGAAAAAGAGAAGAAAGTAAGAAAAAAGAAGAGAAAAGAAATAAAAAAAGAATATATGAGAGAAAGAGAGAGGGGAAAAAGTGAAAAGAGGAACGAAAACAAGATAATAAGAGAGAGAGAGAGAGAAGGATGGTGTGAATGAAGATATGAACATAAAGTAAGAAAAGCAAGGCAAAGAATGAAACAAGAGGGTAGAAGTAGAGAGAATGAAAGGAGAAAGAAGACGAGAAAGAGAGAGATATAGATATATAGAGAGAAATAGTGAGAAGGAAAGTGAAAATAGCGAAAGAAAGAAAGGAGAAATTAGAGAGACTAAAAAAGAGAAAAAAAAGGAAAAGAAAGATGGCGAGAACACAAGGAGAAAGAAGACAGTAAAGAGAGAGAAATAGAATGAAGAGAGAAAAAGAAAAAATAAAGATGAAGAGAATGAAATCGAAAGAAGACGAGAAAGTGCAAGAATTAGGGAGACTGTGAAGAGAAAAAAGAAAAAAAGATAGAACACAAGGAGACAGACAACGAGAAAAAGGGAAAAATACAGAGAATGAAAAGAGAAAAAAAAATAAAGAAAGATGGAATGGATGCGAAAAAAAAAGAAGTTGAGAAAGGGAGAGAAATAGAGAGGATAAAACGAGAAAAAGAAAGGAAGATGAACTCAAAGAGAAAGAAGAGGGGAAAGTGCAAGAAATAGCGAGAATGAGAGGAGAAAAAGAGATAGAGAGAATGACAAGAGAAAAATGAAAGAAAGATGGAAAGAACGCGAAGAGAGAAGATGAGAAAGAGAGGGAAATAGAAAGAAAGAAAGAACGAAAGAAAGAAAGAAAGAAAGAAAGAAAGAAAGAAAGAAAGAAAGAAAGGGGGAGGTAATGCAAGGAGAATGGAGACGGGAAAGGGAGAGAAATAGAAAGAATGAAAATTGAAGAAATAAAAAGAAAGAAAGAAAGAAAGGAAAAAAAACGAGAAAGAGAAATAGAGAAGGAAAAGAAAAATGTGATAATAAGAATGACTTTTATTCTTTCATTTTCTTTAGATTCAGAACTGAAGGAAACATAGAAAGGAAAAAAATAAAGCGAAAAGAGAGAAGCAGACAGTAGAAAGGAAAAAGAAACGAAACGAAAAAAGTGAGAACGGAAAAAGAAAAAGAAGATAACAAAAAAAGCGAACGAGAAAGAACGATAGGAAAATAACATCTGGAAAAAAAAATGAAAGAAAAAACAATAAAGAACGTATCATCGTTTGTATTTGTTATCATTAAATACAGACAAAATGTCCGGTAGCCATTATGTCCATATGAAAACTGTCTTTTTCTTGCGATGTGGTGTAATAGGATCTCGACTCGGAATGAGCAATCGGAGATCCGAGTTTGAATTCCAGTCGGGTTCGTTACAACAATTTAAACGCAAATACCAAAGATATGAATCCATCTCTATTTAAAACACTCAACTTACGGGTCGAATAGAGGAGAAGAGTTTTATCCTATAGCCTTGGCTGGTAACCAATCTAACGGAGAGAGAAGTGGCAAGCTACTGCAGGAAAACATTCTGCCTAATCAGTAGCGGAATCGAAAGAGACATGATCGCCCAAGCGTGTATCACTTTACTGAATAGAGGCCTATATTGTCGTCTATCAGGTGTCGGTAACCATTTGCAAACTATCTACCAACTTCTGGTGTTAAAATCATTAAGTGTGTCAACAGTATACGTATTTTTTAGTCATGGTCAATATACCAGCTCTGCAATATATTTTATACACTATTTACATTATTCGGACTATTGTCCTTTCAGTATCTGTCTATATTTCTGAGATGAGATATTATGTACACTATTTACATTATTCGGACTATTGTCCTCATCTTTGTTGCCATATTTATTACAACGTTTCAGCTTTTCAGTATCTGTCTATATTTCTGAGATGAGGTATTATGTACATTATTTACATTATTCGGACTATTGTCCTCATCTTCGTTGACATATTTATTACAACGTTTCGGCCCTTGAGTATCTGTCTATATTTCTGAGATGAGGTATTATGTACACTATTTACATTATTCGGAGTATTGTCCTCATCTTTGTCGCCATATTTATTGCAACGTTTCGGCCACATGACACAGTGGATAAAGGTGTTAGTTAGATCCAGTGACAGGATCCAAAGAGTGTGAGTTCAATACCCGGCTAAGGCAGTGCAGAACTTTCAGAGGGAAATTAACAGGAGATAACTGATAACTGACATCTATTAAACATGACACGTTGAACTAGAACAGTCTACCCCAGTGAGCGAAATAAAGGGTTCAGTTCGACATTCCAACCACCTGAAGACGGCCGGAGCATACAACAGTCGAAACGTTGTAATAAATATGGCGACAAAGATGAGGACAATAGTCCGAATAATGTAAATAATGACGCGGTCCTTTGGGCTTTAAAAACTGCCTAAAATTGTCATAAATTCCGCAAATATAAACACTGAGAACTTACGCCAAATAATTTTTTCAAATTGGTGTTTAAAAAAAAACTGTAAAAATCCTGAGAGCCACTCAAAGTAGAGGGTTATAGAGTAAGAGGCACAGTTTATGCGGTATGAGGGGAAGATTACGGTTATCCTAGACTTGAACAGGTTAATATTTTAGCGATAGAAGAAGCCTCCTCTTGGGTTGGGGTTAAAAAAATGCAACGGTTCCTGTGAAGTTGTCCGCTACATTCATTTACAGACAATCTGCTCCTCCTAGCTATGGGTTAAATAGTAGGATTGGTGTCTAGAGAAATCATTGTTATTGTCAAAAAACTGTTATATACATTCGGAAAGTGAAACATTCTGACAATCCAATATATGTTTCAGCTTGAAATAACCCACAAAGGCACAGTTTATTTTGATATGATAACGGTTAATCCTAGGTTAAGATTGTAGTGACTGGGGAAGCATTCTCGTGGGAGTCGGTTCGACAAAGCAGCGGTTCGTATGAAGAAGCTGCTTGAGTGAAACCTACATCTCACTAATGGAATACGAATGGGATGAAGCTGGCTCGTTACAATGGGTCGGGCATGGCGGATCTTAGCCATGAAGTTTAGAACTGGTGGCGGTAAAGAATGTAGTTCGTCTGAGCACTTTTCACGAAAATAGTATAATGAGTGACATATGAGAAAAAAAGGACAATAAATTAGAGCTATCGTCGAAGAAAAAGGGGAAGCCAACCAGTAAACATCGACAGACATCACTATCGTTTTTTCCCCTTTCGCAGAGAAAATATTTCTCATATTGAATATTTAAATGTTACGAATATCTCAGATAATCCAGAAGTGGTGTAATCTTTCACAGATTAACGTATTCGGTTGCAAAATAATTATTTTCGGAAAACATCTGTTGAGTTATAAATGGCAAATATTTTTGGAAATATTCTATCTTGTAATCTTAAAGTAAGTGTATGCCTAAATACATCTCACCCCAGATTTTAGTCTGGGCATTTCGACGTGGCGTAACTATTAGCATGCACGTCACGACAGAATAGTAATTTGAATCTTCCCTGGATGATCCAAACTTCCTGTCTTGTGCCACATCTAAGCAAAGCGTAGAAAATCATTTGGGCAGTACGACGCGGTGTAATGGTTAACAACCTTGTCTCGTTAGATCAATTAAGACTGAATAGTAATTTCGATACTCAATGGGAGCTCCACACTTTCGGCCTTGTGCCACATCTAAGCAAAGCGTAGAAAATCATTTGGACAGTACGACGTGGTGTAATGGTTAACAACCTTGTCTCGTTAGATCAATTAAGACTGAATAGTAATTTCGATACTCAGTGGGGGTTCTATTGTTTCGTCCTTGTGCAGCCTCTAAGCTAAGCTTAGAAAAGCATTATACCCACCACCACCCAAAATTCTGGTTGAATTCAATATTTCTTTCTAGAGGGCTTTCACCATACTTTGTAAAAAAAAACAAAGTATTTAATTCGGTCCATTCTCCAACTGACTTCAGATAATTTTCACAAATGCAACATCTTATTAATTAGAATTCAGGCTGTAAGACTGTTTCATAATAATGGCAATTTTTATTTAATTTCACTCATTCAGTTGTGATATTAGAGGTATTATATCTGTCGTCTTCCTTTGGTTCGCGTTTTTGTACTTTTTCCTCATTCTTAATATTCCTGTTTGTTCGAAGTTCAAGTATGCCAGTATAAATTGTGGAGGGAAGCTCAATTAAAAGTTAATTTGAAGTCCTTTACTTTTACGTTTTTCAGAGATTGCCATAACATAATCTTTCTACTCATCTGACCGTATTGTAGTTATAAAAATAACTTTATATCAAATCTCTACATCTTTATAAATCATATTATTTACAACACTCTATCTATTTATCTATCTAGCTAGAGATATATACTTTAAGGTAAATATTATTTAAAAAAAAAACACCAGTATTTCTGTCGATTAATTTTAATGGTCTTTTTTTCCAATTACAAATAATCCTTCTCAGAGAAATAAGAAATTTCGTCAGAAATTGTCTAAAGTTCATTTCGGAAGAAAAGTACAAGAAATATGCTTCAAGCTATCGACTTTCGGAGTAATGATCAGTGTAGGTAAAGACAAATGGTGAGTTCCGTAAAACTAGTCAATGTTCTGACAGGGGCAGAGAGTGCATTGATGTAGCCAAGATGTAACGTGTTTTTTTTTCTATTCATTTGAGGGTGCGGGCTTTTAAGTTATAATTGCTTTTATTTATAGATAGTTGTTTTTTTTTTTATTGCTTCAAGGATAATGTCTTTTTTCTATTCGATTTTACTAGCATTTTGGTATTGTTTGTGAGTAGCTATTTAATGTTATTATTACCCTTAACCTGTGTTGTTTGACAGGTGAGAGGTGAGTGTGATACACTTTTCTCCTCGTTGGAACAACTATAAGCTCTTCCCTATATATATATATATATATATATATATATATATATATATATATATATATATATAAAGGGTATTTCATTAAGAGGGATTATATATAAGGGTATTTCCTTAAGATGGATCAAAGTCAGCAGTAAATAAATCATTGTTATTGGTGATAATTTATTTATTTCTCTATTGCATCATGTTATTTAAGTCATGGCAATTATGTGTGAAAAATAATATCGGCCAAATGTTCGCGAAATCTGAAAGACAAAGAAGAAATCATTAGACACTTAAACTTAATTCCTATTAAAATCAATCCAAGTTATTAGAACACCCTTTATAAGAGAAAAATATGTACCTATGCCAGGACCAGAATAAATGCTTGCAGATTTAAATATAATCAAACAATGTCTACCTATTCCAGAACGAAATAAATACTTACACACTCAAATATAAACAAGCAATGTTTATCTATTCCAGAACGAAATAAATGCTTACACATTCAAATGTAAACGATCTATTACAGAAACAAATAAATACTTATAGACACAAATAAAGGGTGTGTCATTAAGAGGGATTATATATAAGGGTGTTTCATTAAGACGGGTGAAAATCAGCAGTAAATAAATCAGTGTTATTGGAGAATATTTATTTATTTCTCTATTGGATCATGTTATTTAAGTCATGGCAATTATGTGTGAAAATTAATATCGTCCAAATGTCTGCTAAATCCGAAAAAAAATCATTAAACGCTTCAACTTAATTCATATTTAAAATCAGTCCAATTTATTGGAACACACACACACACACACACACACACACACACACACACATATATATATATATATATATATATATATATATATATATATATATATGTGTGTGTGTGTGTGCATGTGTGTGTATACGAGGAGAAATAGTTAATACATTTATTTGAATGAAGTGCAAGAAGATGACAGTATCGATTCGATTCAAACTCCTCGGGCCATATTTGTTTCTCGCAATGTCTGCTTCCATGGTTTTGCCATAAGGCATAATGTGCAAGAAACAGTTCTTTTTTTTTGGCCGCCATTAAACATATTTCCGTGTTCCCGAAACTGACGCTAACAAACCGGAAGAGGCTTTCGGGATAAGCAGAGTGAAAATGAGAATGTCATGATACGAAATGGAAACAAAATGCGATTATTCATGTTTGCTTTTATTTTCAATGAAACAAAACGATCAGAAAGATGTGTGATGGGTAACAAGTCATCTATTCCATAACAAGCACAATGTGACATTTTCTATAGATCAGTCACGCAGCCTGATATTCCGTACTCAAGA